GGGGGGCAGGCGGGGTGGGGGGACAGGCTGCTGTGGAAACACCCCACACACACCCCTGCACTGCCCTCGGGGAGCAGCAGCTCCTGATCCAGCAGCAATTCATGGAGCACCTCTTTCCTAAGGATCAGGCAGAATTACTCAAAGCCAGACACAGCTGTCATTGCAACTGCAGCTTTATTATCATTTCATGGCGAGGAGCCCTGGTCTGGTGACAAGATGCGTGTGAACAGAGCACTTCCCCTTTGCCAAGCCCTGCAGAACCAGGTCAGCTGCTTCTGTCTTTAGATTTTTTTCTTACATCCACTGCTCTTGGTGCACACAAAGATGCAGCAAGTGGCACCACTGTGGCCTCGGGTACAGCTGTCCTGCTTGGGAGGAAAACCTGGCATTTTTTGTTTTGCTAGGAAACAGGCTTGGATGTTTTCCTCATTGTGCCTTCTCTGAAGGTCCCAGCTAACCAGGCAGTTAAGTGCTTGCTGACAATAATGAATGGAACACACAGAAAAGCCTCTGCTCAGCTCCCACAGAAATCTACCTTCCCCTTGGCTCCTTTCTAACTGCACCCTTGGCACTACAGCAAACATAGCTAAGTGTAAAGGTTTAACATGTATGAAGTGATGTACAACCCTAACCCCGTGAGCTCTAACAGCATGAGCCTAGAGAAGTCACCTCCTGACTCCCCATATGAGCAAATCTGTTCCTTGCCTGATTGGTAACATTTGTTCTGGCTACTGAAGCATTAGCACAAATCATAAAGCCATAAAAAAATCCTTAGTCAGCATGATTATTGAGCACACAAAGAGGACAGTTCTCAGGACACCAGCGATGCCAGTCAGCCATATGCCCTGGGTTTTAGCTCCTTTTCAAGTTTCTGGATCTCCAGGTACAGTTTCTGGATCTCCAGCAGAGTTTTAAGTTCTGCCAGAGGAACTCCACACTGGAAAGCTTCCCTCTTTTGAAGAATCTTCTCACAGGTGTCACGTTTTTTCTTTAAAAGAACCAACACAAAGACAAGTGGCACGAAACTCTCAGGCATGGACCCCCATGCTGAGCACCCAGTTCCAACTGCAGCCCCCCAACCCGGCCAGCCCCCCTGTAAAAAAGCCACCAGAGGAATAAGCCTGCCCAGAGCTGTTCCAGGCTCTAAAGAGGACAAGATACAAAGCCTGGCTTTGCACGGAACTTACACACGTGGGGGGTGGTACCCAAGTGCCATCAGAGGAGCAGGTGGTGACTGAACGTTCTGATGAGTAGCTGCCACTTCTGCAGTAGAAGGTCAGAGTTTCGTTCACCTCGTACAGGACTTTTTTTGAGGGGTAGGTCAGTTCCTCCTCCTGTGCCGAGGGATGGGGACACCGGACTGAAAGAGAAACGCGTGCCGGGAAATAGTGCAACGGGAGGAGCTGATGAGCTGCAGGTGCCACCCGTGGGTGGGGACTGAAGGGAACAGCACGCCCGGCCAGTGCTGAACCATCTGGGGGGGCACCTGCGGGGCCTGGCACC